AGCTGGCCTCAACACACTAATGCCGACGCTGCCTCCCAACAGATTAGAAGATCTCATAGAACTGATTGATGGGACGTCTGTAATAATGTGTCTGTAGCTTTTAATATGTTAGTGTGTCAGCCTATCGCTAGCACGATTGACCCTTTGCCAAACATTGAATAAGATGAATGGACAGTGATGTGAGTCTTTGGTCTAGGAGATGTTACCACGTGGATGTGATCGGACGGTCACCACGTCAGATAGGTTAGTATAAATAACCTCTCTTTGTACTAAAAAGGGGGACATGAAATCAAGAAATAAAGAACATCTTTATACGTTTAGCTTTGTTTTACAAAACACAAGGAAGAATACATGTTGATATTCAAAGAATATACAATACATTTTCATATCTATCATTCCACATATTCCATTACGAAAGGAGTGATTTGGTTAAATGGATCAAGCATTCGTTGATAGGCGAGCCCAAGAATGCCTAGAAATAGGCGAGCTAATCCACCTCGGGCACCTAGCAGTAGGTATGATGATGAAGTGCCTCATGTCCGTCCCCTTAGAAATAGGCGCGAAAGGCGAGAACAAGCTAGGAGCAAAGCGCAAACCTCCCAACCACTTCCCCCGATCAATCAAAGGGAAGAAGAGAACCCGGATGAGCCTCAGCGTTATTGTGACCTTGATGATGATAATGAGCTTTCTCCTTTCTCCGAGGCCATAAGGAGTGCATCCATGTTGAGCCACTTCATACTCCAAAAAATCCAAAAGTATGATGGGAGAGGCGACTCTGCCAAACATATGGACAATTACAAGAAACATATGAATCTAAAGGGGGCCACCCCAGAGATGAAATGCAGGGCCTTCCACTTAAACCTAAGTGGAGGGGCAGAAATTTGGCACGCCAGGCTACCAGAGAGGAGCATCCGAAGTTGGCCAGAGTTCAAAAAAACTTTCTTGAAACGCTTCGCAACCAACAAAGAGGAGGAAAGACCCATCCAAAGGTTGCAAGATATGATGCAACAACTAGGTGAATCGCTAAAAAGTTTTACTTTGCACTTTACTGATGAAAAGAATATTGTGTGCAAATCACGGATAAGGAAGCTTTGACTGCCCTAAGAGGAGGTTTAGACACGAACTCTCTTTTCTGGAGAGACGTGCAAAATAAGGACCTCGCCACCTATGATGCGCTGTTAGAGATGATAAGGCATGAGATCCTGAATGAGAAGCTGAAAGATCATAGGAATAGGGCCAGCTAGGGTTTGCCGCCTCCACAAATGTGAATGGGGAGAAGTCCTACCTCCCATTTGATGGATAATTAGGCCCCAATGAATCATGGATAGGAACTTGCTCCTGCAACAATCAATGCAGTACCTACCCTCGCTACGAAGAAGTCAACCCTAGCGCTGGAATGCGCATGCGTCAGCCCAACCCAAGAAATCCACAAAGGGGGCGAGGTGTCGATCTTAGAAATAGGAACGAGGCACCACAATATTGCTCGTATCACTAGTCTAATGGACATCAAACAGAGGAATGCCGGAATGCTGCAAGATTCTCCCCAAAAAATGTTCCCAATAGGTAAAACCCACAGCCTCAGAACAATGAACAACGTCGCCCTAATAGGACCGACCCTCCACGAGGAAGGGATAATGCCATCGAGGAACCAGAGAGGGCCAGAGACAATGATGATATCTCCTAAGCAATGAACATGCGCCCATCCGAGAGCTCGATACGATCATTGGTGCTCCTCACATGNCACAGCCTCAGAACAATGAACAACGTCGCCCTAATAGGACCGACCCTCCACGAGGAAGGGATAATGACATTGAGGAACCTAGGTAGAGCCAGAGACAACGACAATACCAATTACCCCCTCAAATAGGTGCTTCAAAAACCTGACGCTTCAGGAAGACTACTTAAATGGGTTGTGGAGCTTAGTGAGTTTGACATCAGTTACAAACTAAGGATGGCTATCAAAGGGCAAGCCCTGGCTGATTTTGTGGCGGAATTCACCCCCGCGCCAAATAACGAAGAAGAAATGGAACCCATTGAACCTTAGATATGGAGGCTTTCTGTGGATGGATCTTTTGGAGAGATTAGTTCAGGGGCAGAATCATATTCGTCAGCCTAGAAGGGCACAAACTCACTTATGCAGTGAAGTTCGACTTTAAAGTGACCAACAATGCTGCTGAGTACGAGGCTCTTCTAGCTGGTCTCCGACTGGCGAAGGAATTACAAGTAAAAAGGCTCATAATCAGCAGTGACTCCCAATTGGTGGTCAGCCAAGTCCATGGAAATTATTCTGTCAGGGACAAATCTATGGCAACTTACTTAAAGCTGGTAATGAGCCTCATTCATTCATTTGAAAGGTTCGAACTGATGCAGATACCAAGGTCCTACAACGCTCATGCTGACGCATTGGCAAAATTAGCAAGTAGCAAAGACTCAGAACTAGTCACTGTGGTCCCCATTGAACATATCGCCCGGTCTTCGATCGAAGTCAGCGACACGGTAATGTGGATAGAAAACGCACCCCTCTGGATGAAACCTATCATATCCTATCTAAAGGATCAGATCCTACCTCATCAGAAGGAAGAAGCTCAAAAGCTAAGGAGAAGGGCTGCCCATTTCATTCTCCAAGACAATGTGTTGTACAAACGCAGATACTTTCTACCCCTACTGAGATGCATTGGAGAAGAACAAGTAAACTATTTGCTTAGAGAAATCCATGAAGGCATCTGCGGTAATCACGCCTGGAGGTTGGTCGTTGGCACAAAAGGTACTTAGGCAAGGGTATTACTGGCCCACCTTGAAAAAGGATATGCTACTGTTCGTGCAGAAATGTGACAAATGCTAACATTTCGCTCCTATACAGAGACAGCCTTCAGAGGAATTGAATGTGGTATCCAAGCTTTTGCCATTTGCAAAATGGGGGATTGAGCTAATTAGGCAGTTGCCCAAAGGGAAAGGAAACGCCAGTGTCGCCATTGTCGCTATCGATTATTTCACAAAATGGGTGGAAATTGAACCACTTACAAAGATAATTAAGGCCAATACCTCCAAGTTTGCCTGAAAGAACCTCATTTGCAGGTTTGGTATCCCTTATTCAATTGTATTAGACAACGGCAGGCAATTTGATAACAAGAAAGTAAGGGAGATGTACGAGGAATTGGGCATCAAGAAACACTTCACTTCCCTACATCACCCTTAGGCAAATGGGCAAGTTGAGGCCGTAAACAAAACCATCAAGTATACCCTGAAAAGGAAACTTGATACATCAAAAGGGGCTTGGGTGGATGAACTACCTCAAGTTCTGTGGGCTATCAGAACCACCATTCGGACTGCCACCGGGGAGACCCCATTTTCCATAGCATATGGAGCAGAAGCCATAAGCTCCTTTGAGGTAGGTCTTCCATCACACATGAGAATACACTTCAATGAGATAGGTAATGATGAATCAAGAAGATGTGGATTGGATCTCCTTGAAGAAATGAGGGATGATTTCTAGATCAAAATGGCCATGTACCAGAGGAAAATGACCCAATATTACAATGCTAGAGTGAAGAAGAGATCCTTCCGGATAAACGATCTGGTACTTCGAAGAGTTTTCTTATCCTCCAAAGAGCCAGGGGTAGGAGCCTTAGGACCTAATTGGGAAGGACCCTGCCGTATCAAGAGGGAAGTTTGACCAGGAACTTACTGGATCGAAGACATGGATGGAAAGGTTCAGCCTCATCCATGGAATATCGAACACTTACGAATGTATTACCAGTGAATGTGGACCACGACTAAGGTTTTTCTCAGTCCTTGTAAATAAATAAATACTTTGCGTACAAATGAGTAGCCGAAATGCAAGCAAGCGTTGGCGCCTCGAAAGAGAGGTTGACATTTCCATAGGGATTACCTCGCTTAAATTTCGAGGCGGACACACATGCCTTCCTTTTACAGCTAAAGCGTCAAGGAAGAAGCCTTTGCATGGATGAACCATCTACCATGCAGGGAAGCGTTGACACCTCGGAAGAGATGTTGACATTGCCATAAGGATCACCTCGCTTGAATTCCGAGGCGAACACACATGCCTTCCTTTGACAGCCAAAGCATCAAGGAAGAAGCTTTGCATGGATGAACCATCCACCATGCAGGGAAGCGTTGACACCTCAGAAGAGAGGTTGACATTCCCATAGGGATCACCTCGCTTGAATTTCGAGGTGGACAGACATGCCTTCCTTTGACAGCCAAAGCATTAAGAAAGAAGCCATTGCATGGATGAACCTTCCACCATTTAGGAAAGGGTTGGTACTTCGGAAGAGAGGTTGACATTCCCACAGGGATCACCTCGCTTGAATTCCAAGGCGGACACACATGCCTTCCTTTGACAGTCAATGCGTCAAGGAAGAAGCCTTTGCCTGGATGAACCATCCACCATGCAGGGAAGTATAGATGCCTCGGAAGAGAAGTGGACATCCCACAGGGATCACCTCCCTTGAATTCTGAGGCGAACATACGACGTTCCCTGGAAAAAGATCACCTAGCTTGGGCTCCGATGTTCACCAAGAGTGGACATTGAAAATCCATTCATTAAGGTTCAGATCATTTTAACTTAGGTTTACCCAGTCGCAACTTGATGTGGGTCGATATTTGTTTCAGCATATTTAAAAAAAGGCAAGGATAAAAAAGTGCAGATTCACTGAGATATGAAAGATTGAGATTAACTTGACACACGGTTGAGTTATTGCTACTATGCACCAACATAAAGATAAAACCAAAACTGGAAGCAATAAAGAAAAATCGAAATCTATATTCAATGAATAAACCAGTACAATAGGAGGCTCGAAGAGCTTTACAACTAATAAAATTGGAGTAAACCTATGCCTATTCTAGAGGAGGGGAA